TTCTATAGTGTAATCATAAATTCTTATCACTTTTAAATATTATATATAATTATGAACTATATTAACGACATTCGCCTCATTAGTTTATTTTTCATGGTTCTTATATATTGTATTATTTTTTTCTTTTTTATTACATAATAATTTATGTGTCTGAAAAACACTATAGAATAAAGATATATTTTTTTTAAAATTTTGTATGAATAAGATATCGTTATAAAGAATCACATGATCATTAACGCATTATTTATTATGACAAAAAAAGGGCGATTAATTTTTTTAGTTTAATAATAATATTAATAATAAAATTAATTTATTTCATACGTCTCATCCTATATATCGGCATAAAGACAACTGTATTAAACAAACATGAACATATGTTTAATCCATTTGTTGTATTCATATTATTAAAATAACAACTTCAGTAAAATTAAATTTTTTTTATTTATTCCGAACATAAATATATTTTTTAATTTTTTTTTTTTTTATATTTTCGTGATATAATTATAAATGTTATTAAAATAATATTGTATAACTCTACTACATTTATTTCGTTAATGATTTAAGAAAAAGCTACTCTAATATAGGAATTAGTACAATATTAAATTTCATGAATATTTTTTTTATATAAATTATATGCCCCCAAGAGAATGTATTATATATACAATATAATGAAAATATTTATAAATATATATTGTATAAGACATTTTTAAAAAAGGATTATATTTTTTCTGGCTTGTGTAAGTTTTCTTTTTTTTATTCATATTTATTAATAATAGTATTAAAATAATATTAGATTTGTAATATATTATAGTCTATGATATACTAGCTTTTCAAAAAATATCTATTAATATATAATAAATTTTGAAACCACATAAAAAGTTAAAATTTATAAATATTAATGAACATAAATAGAATTATTATTTTTTTTGTATATACCCTTTTTGTTTTTTTATTTTTTGTATTATATATTATTTACATCATATTGATTTATGTGTCTATGCATATGGTAATGTGTGAATTTATTTTATGTATACCATAAACATATATTTTATGATACTCCAATATAATCATCTGATATTATATCCAAAGAATTTTTTCTTGTTGTGTACACGTAAAATTGATATGAATGAAAAAACAACACAAAAGTTTATTTGTGAAAAAAATAATTAAAAAATAACTTTATAAAAAATTAATGAAAAATCGAATAGTGAAATAAAATATGCGCTTAAATTGTCATGAGAGCAATCATGTAGGTTAGAAAAATAAATGTTCAATATTCTGTATTTTTGACAGAAAAAAGAGATATTAACTAAATTTCTCTTTCATTTTTTAATAATAATATTAGATATTTTTTGTAGTATGCATAATATTGTGGAAAAAAATGATTATAATGAAAAATGTTATTTGTACATTATATGAATGATAGAAGTAACCATATTATCACAATGTAAATAATATAAACAGAAGGAAATTTTTATTTTAAAAGTAATTCCACAATAAACATAAAATTTATTTATTTGTCTTTATCTATTCCTATATTATACACCTTAGTATTTATTTATTTTTACAAAAATCCTAAGATAATATAGAAAAACATATGATAATACTAAAGCTATTTAAAATGAATGCGTGTACACTCGTATAAATCTGTATTATCAATCCATAAACACTTATATTCATTTTTATTGTATCATATATATAATAACATTAATATGGGGTATAAACAACTGTATAGTTTATATATAATTTTTAATATTTGATAAAAAGACCTTATCCTGAATATATTATATGTATAAATAATAGAATATTATAAGATTCTTATTTGAATATATCAAATTTAATTTTTTTTAATGTACATTTTCGTCTGAAATTATTGTTATATTATATGCAAATGTATTCATATAAATATGAAATCTATAAATCAAAAATATATATATTTAGTTAGATAAGTGTGTGCCATAATTATGGGTTATTTTGTTGATATGAGGAATATATCCTCTAAGACAATTTCCTTTGAAACATTTTTGTCCGCTGATGTTTATGTCATTAAATTATGATTTTATACATGAATTTATTCTTTATTATAGAAATTACATATATGTTTGGAAAAACGAATATATCTAATATCTTTTTATTTATATATTAAGATTTATAATTTTATTGCATTATATAAAAATATAAATATAATATTTATATTATAATTTTTAATAATATTAGGAATGTATAAGTTATTATATAATTATATGTATCACTCTATAAAAATTATTTGTGTAGCATTATCAAATACAATATATATTAAAATATTCAAGTAACAAAGATGAATACAATAATATATATAAAATAGGGCACATGATATTATTCTTATTTACAATAATTAAGGAAAAAAGGAATACAGACAAAACCTTTAAAAATATACTATATTATAAAAAGTCTGTACATATATATAAACTAATTATGTATGCATAATATGTAAAGGAAGTATTTTAGAGATAACTAGAAGAAAAACAATTTAATTTCTAAACAATGCAAAAGAATAAAAAATAGCTGAATAAATAATTCATCAAAATAGTGACTGTATATATATATTCTATAATCTAAATAAGTATATTCAAACAACATACATCATATTTTTTATAACACTTCTATTTAGTTATTATTATAAGAATTCCTAATAAATTAATTATATATCATTTTATATGAATTATAATATAACATATAGTAATATAATATATTACTTATAATTACACCCTTAGTTATATAATTTTTTATATTCCATAATATATGTATCAAAGTTCTGCCTTTTGATATATAAGAAATTTTATAATATAAAAATAATATAGTTTGCGCCTATTAAGAAATATTTCATCAAAGATTAAATAAATAATATTTCTTTTAATTTAAATTGATATTCAAAAAAATAAGCAAATACTATTAGCTTATTATATAATAATATATTATCCTCAACAATGAATGAAAAATACTTTTAATATAATAAAAACTGCTTTAGTTTTAATATTACATAAGAAGCCTTGTGTTCAAATGCATTAAAGCATATACAAAATAAATATATTTCTAGAATATAATTTTATATATTATGATATAATACTTATTGTTAAATTAAATAATCATAGATAATATAATTGAAAATTTCAATACTTCTTTCTAGATTTTTATTTTTATCAACTATTTCAGTTATTACTATTATATTACATCTCATATTCCCAAAAAAACTATATTTTCTGGAGCCATTATTATAATTTATTTATTAAGAATAGTATTTATATATTATTATTTACTTAAGTAATATATCAATATTGTGTTATAATTAAATCATGTAATCCGTTATTATATATACGATTTATACAGATTGATAATAGTGTTAATTATTGCAGCAATTATATATATTATATTTCTATAAATTGGGTAAATTAGTAAGAGTATTATGAATTATGAGAAAGAAATACATATAACTAAATATGATTTAATATATATATTATTCTAAAAAACCTTATAAATAATTATATAATATTATTGAATTTACGCAATATTATAATTATCATATGTACAAGGCTTATTTCTTATTATATAATTCATATGTATAAAGAAATTATTCAATAAAAATATAATTTTAAAAATTAATGTCTATATTCCTTTTATGATTTATAGTGCAAATAATTAGTATCATATAAAAATGTATAATGAAATTTCAATTTTAATGATCAAGTTATATTATTGTTAAATTAAACTGTGTGAATATAATGTGCATATAAATTAACATACTAAGTAACTATATCATTTATAATATATTTTATATATTATATATGGTATTTTATTTTGTTTTACTAACATTACTCTTGGGATATTTGCAAAAGATTTCTAAAAGAGCTAATAAATAGAAAAAATTGATGTATAGTAATATATACATATGAAGTTTATTCATTTATAAACTATGAACATAGAAGTGCATAATATAAATATATTATATTATCCATTTTATTAAAAGTTAATATTTTATTTTACAAATAAACTAAATAACACTAAAAATTAATAATTAATAGAAATATTATACTATTTAAAATATAATATAAAAATTAATTAAAATTAATGAAAACATATATTACAAATATATATAAAGAAATTATTTTTCTACATAAGGGGTAAACAATAATATAAATAATATAAGAAGAAATCACAAAAAAATATAATATTCCTAAATATAATATGATAGTAAAAAATATTACCTATGCTATAGATCTAAAAACATTATAAATATTCTTATTATCTTTGTACGCTATAATACTTAAAAAAAAAAAAAAAAAAAATTATTATTAAGTGTTCAAGGAAATATTAAAAATAATAATCCATTCTATTTATTGATCATTCTCTTAAATATATGTTTTCTTAATTTATATTATGTCTATGATAGATATCAAAACTTATGCATTATAAAAACATATATATCATTTTGCAAATGCTAATAAATTTATATTTATGTATCATGCTTTACAAAATATCATTTATCTCATAATAAACAAATTTATACCTATCAATAATACATGTATTAATTATTTTCCCATGTATACATACGTATAATTCCTAAAACGCAAATTTATATAAGGAATATAAAAATATATTTCATGTAATTTATTAAATAATATGATTATTTTATGATAGTATTTTTTTATTTATTACAAATAAAAAAATAATGATTTAATTTAGTATTTTTATATAATTTCAACTTTATATCAACTCATTTCCTCTTATGAATTTATATAAATATAATTATTTACCTATTTAATAATAACCATGATACAACAATTAAATACATAATTAAAAAGAAAAAATATGAATATCATTACTTGTTTATAAATTTATTTGATTAGTATTATTATTACATCTTTTATCATTATTTTAATTATTCACATATTTTAACATAAATTATTTAATAAGGAAATATTTGTTAAAACAAGCATTCCATTAATTCATATGCAAATATTATAATGTTATCACCACAGTATATGTCCTTAGATGTATGTTACTATTTTTATGAAAATTAAGTTATTTGTAAAATCTGCAATAAAAATATATTTATAAAAATTTAATTTAATTTTTTTTTACATATAATGATTTTTATTTAAGGTTTTCCTTAACACTATATTTCCCCAATATGCTGATGATTATAATTCAGTTACTACAGATGAGAGTAATAAAGATTTACGTAATAAATTCTCTACTATGTGTAATGAATTCTCCGAAAATTTGGAGACTCATGTACCAAGAGTTCAGAAAATTATAAAATATGCTTGCCAAGAGTTTGCAATATATTTAGAACATATAAATAGAAAGAAGACCCCAGATGAAGATGAAATATTTAACGTTAATTCTAGCTGTAATTATTTTTTTTACAAGCTACAAGTTCTTATGAAATCGTATAAGGTTACTTGTAAAACGGTATACCAATGTTATTTAAATATGATAAGAAATAGGACAGATATACCTGAATACTATATTGCTTCTAATGTATGTGCGCAGGAAAATAATTATGTTGATTACCTAGATGAAAATATGTATTATAAGGTATTATATCTGGATGCTCTATATTATATACTGTATCATTTAAAAAAAAATAGAAAATCTATAGATTTTAAAAGTAATAAAATCTTAAGTAGTTTTAAAACTGACTTATCAAATTGTAAAAAAGGAACCAGTATTTTCTGCAAACTTATTAGAGAAATAGATGTAGAATTTAATAAAATTCAAGAGGAATTTGATAATAAAATTGAACATCCTATTGATAAAACAGAACGAGAATTTGTTAAAATTGAACATGATATTGATAAAACAGAAGACGAATTTGAACTGAAAGCACATGTTTATGGCACAATTCCTCAAGCCTCTCAGGAAATTCACACTGAAGGATTTAGCAAAACGATAGGCAAGAGTATAACCACAATATTTGTTGTTTCTGTATTTGCTTTGATTATACTTACATTCATCGGTTATAAGGTTTAAAATAAATTAACATAATATTTTTATATTGAATTATTATTTATATTACACAAATTATTAATGTATTTTATATTAAACAAATGATACATTCATAAGAATATAAATTTACATTTATTTTTCAGTATAAACCCCTTGTATCATTTTTACAACACAGAGAAAGGAATATAATAAAAAAGAAGAACAAGAAAAATACAAATATATTAAACTCATCGATTTCATATGAAGGAATATACAAAGAAACAACTGATAATAAATATAGTCTAGCATACAGCTCGGAGGGCTATTAATTCACACATAATTACTTTTTGTATAGTGAACTTATATTTTTTTTTTTTTGAATATATTAAATGTATTAATATAAAGTGAAAAAATGAGAAAAATTGTTTCACTATTCAGATATAAATATTGGGGTTCTGTGTTCAGGTATAGGATGAAGTATTTTAATGAATATATTTTACCTAATACATTATATGATTTAGGATTAAATATTTTTACTTGATAACCTTATGGTTTCGTATTAATATTATAGATATAATTGTTAATCCCAGTCTGTAAATAGTATGTATTATAATTTTATATTTCCACTTTAATTAATTGTACATACATTATAAGTAATATATTGTAAATTAATATTTACTAAATATATATTCATTTATGTCCAATATAAATATGTATATTTTTATACTATATACCATAATTTATAATATAAATATTATATATATATTATGTAATTTATCATGTATAATAATCTCTTATTATTATATCATTTATTTTATAAGGTATATATAATAATTATTTTTATACATATGTTACATATAAATATTAAGATATATATTATATTTTTTTTTCGTTATACTTTGATTGTATTGAATATTTTATAATAATTATATTTAATATTATATACTTAAAAATGTTATGTTATAATAGAATTTATTGTTTCATCATGAATTGCACATATATTTATATATAAATTGTACTAGAAAATAAAACATTATATTCATATAATTTTTAAAATGAAATATGTGCTATATAATCTTTTGTATAATTTATATTTTTTTTTTAAGGCTATTTGTATATTTATCTTTTGTAAGAATTCCAATAAATAAATAAATATATATATCTATGTAGCATATTAACTTAAATTGAATAATAAACATATATATAATATATTACAAAGTGTTTATGAACACCTTGCTTCATTTTTAACCTAATATATATAATTTAGCCTTATTTATCTAAACAATATTACATAATTCTTATATAAAAATATGGAAATTACTAAATAATGAAGAATAAAGTTCATATATTTTATATATTCATTTACGAATGTTCCAATGAAAATTATATACAGTAAAAAAAGCTTAATTATATGCGTATTCAAGATAAAACATATATTAGTATTATAATTTTTACTTATTATTGAATATAATACTGAAATTATAAAAGCATTTTACACAGTAGTATATATTATATATTGTATTTTATTAATCAATATCATTTTATTTATTATGAATTATATACATATTCTTCTTCTTTTTTTGCAATTACATAATTAAGGTACTATATTATATATCATAAGTATTAGCACCTATATGTAAGAATATATATAAAAGTAAGATAATAATATTTAATAATATTTTTATATTAAATCAAAAATTTAAAAAATTGAATATTTATCCTTCTAAAGGTTATATATCTTCTTATTTAAAAAATTATATATTTATCTTTGTATGCTCAATTACATTATTTATTGCAGCTGAAGTACATTTTATATTACCACACTTGAAATAGTTAAATTGGCTTTTAAGTTATTCAATATAAATTAACATTTAATAGTATAATTATACATATTTTCAAAAATATTATTAAAATTTAATCAACAGAATATATTTTTGATATTTGCATTAATTTTAATTCTGTATATTTAGTATGCATATATAGATTAATTTTTTAAGTGTGCGCAATATATAAAAAATATTAATGATGACAAATGAAATAAATAAAATCATAAAAATACTATAAGTTTAGAGAAAAATATATGTAATTCTTATGTTTTAAACATGTTCTATCCAACACTACCGTATCCATATAATATATAATTCTATTGAAAAATCATAAATAAGGAAACACTGATATAATTCACTTCTATTATTTGCTAAATAATAATGATAATGCATATAATACTACAAGGAGTATCACAATAGTGAAACATTGCGATGATATATGGAATGTATTTAATTTTAAATGTATAGATACTGGAAAATATATAAAGGTCAAATATACCCTTAATGAATTTGAAATTTTCAGAATTATATATGATATGTATAAAAGTAAAATTTTCACAAAAATATGCATGTAAATAACATAGGTAAATGTTATTGTAAACTAGTTAAAGAAATTAAAAATTATGATAATGCGCCAATACAAAAAAAGTTTTATTTATATAATATACAATAGTAATTAGACGCTAAATAATAATTCCATTTCGTGTTCTCAATATAATTTTTGCAATGATATTAATATCCATTATTCATTTGTGTATAACATTGATTATGATATTAGGTATAACATTAAATATCATTTCAAAGTAAAAAAAAGAAAAAAAATTATCATAAATAATTTATATTTCTAATGAGAAAAAATATATTTCACATAAATTATTTCATCACATGCTTTCTATATGCACTGTACAATAATAAATAAATAAAACATCTCGAATAACATAAATATAAATAGGAAGATTATTCAATCAACTGTAATATTCTAAAATTGTTTAAGCGGAATATATAATATATTATAGAATTGTCACTTATTTTACCATTAAATATATAATTCGAAAAAAATATTTGATATCAATAATATTATCTAGATAAATTTAAATATATTATTGGAACAATGAAAAAAAAATAAAGGAAGTACATAAAAAATATATGCATCATTTATATAAATTTTATTTTTCAAATAATGCAAACGATTTCCATTTATTATAATACAAGCAATAGGAATGTTCTTTAATTTATTTGAGGAAACTAGTTTATTAAATTTATGCTTACTAAATGTTTAAAGAATATACATATTGTGTAACTAATATAATATAGTTGTTACTCTTTTTAGAAGTTATATTTATGTTAAATAATTATATAATATTCCCTTGTTATATAGTAATATATGTTAAAATTGGATTTTATAGACACCCATAATAATAAGGCCGTGGTGCTATATATGAATATGTATCTATCATATTATTTTTTTAATTAAAAATATATTCTTATTGTAAAAATATTATTACTAAAAATGATAATTCATTATTACTTTTATATATTTTTTTTAATTATATATATCAAAAGTACCAATAATATTGTAATATGAAGTTGTTGTCATACATTACAAATATTTATCAATTAACGTAGTAAATTATGTTATATAATTTTCTTTCATTATAGTTATAAAAATTCATATTATAAATATATAATCCTGTTTTATTTAATATTTTTCATATTAAATCCTTTTCATATATTTTTATACTCACTAATTATATATATTATATATATATAAAAAATAATGACACAATATATATTAGATATAATTGTCTATAACTTACCTGAATATTTAAATTAAGCGTTATAAGTCATTTTCCATTTTACAAATCATTAAATCCTTATTTCATATTTATTGTCGATGATTCTAGTATATAATAATTTAAATCAAGCATTATGAAGTAATGTAAATAATATAATTCAAAAAAGAATACATATATAAAATAAATGTTTTAATTATATATTAATAAAATTTTTCAGATATGCAAATATATTTGAATTAAATATTTTTATTCAAATTTTTTAAGATATATATATCAAAAGATTACTGTATAATAAATTATGAGATATTATTTATACTAAAATGCTATCTCGATAGAACGTTAAAATAATTCTTGTTTAAAATAATGTATGTTATTTATAAAAAAATATATTTTCACAAATAAATATAAAATGTCCTTTTGAATGCCTGAATAATAACTTTTATATTAATTACACTAACTTATATAATATTTTAGTATAACAAAAAGAGTTTTATCCTTTATGTAATTATAAGTATTTATTTCTTGATTAATTTTATTCGAATTATAAACTATAACTGTTATACTGTTTCCGCGTTTTCATTACTCTTTTTAAAAATAGACTTCTTATAAAATGATTGTATATATTACGCTCATTAAAAGAAAAATGATTGGATTAATTTTTTGTAAAATAATAAAATTATTATGATTTCTTTTTTCTGAAAATATTATTATAACTGAAATTATAAAAACTAGAATATAGTAACAACTTATGAAGATTAAAAATAAATGTATAATAGGAAAATTAAAATCACTGTTCCATTGTAAATGTATTAATCATATTAATTATATTCAAAATTTTCAAAATATTCTCTAATATATTAACATATTTAACACTAAACATATGTAAAATATATTTAACATGGTTATTATAAATTTCTTTAAAGTAGTGAGTAGATCAAAAACATATGTATCCCAAATGATATTCTGTATTAATTTTTAACAAAAAATATAATTTTATTAATATATAATGAATCCTGTACCTGTTATTTTTTCAATTGCATATTCAAACATAAATGCTTAATATAAACATAATATTCTTCTTGTATCCTTGGAACCTCTTATATAATCATTGGGTTAATAATGTTATAAACTCATTATGAAAATTATAAATATTATATATTTAAATTGGACAATAATATATTTTCTACTTATACAAGATTACCTTTTCTAATTATAATATGATAAATTTTGCGCACAAAATATTTTTGAGTTATATAGCCATGTATTAGAAAAAAAAATATTGTCACTAAATTTACATTTAAAATGCATTATTCGGTATCAATTTAATAATATCAAAATTAAATTTATTTTAATTTTGCATTAATGTACTATAATATACTAAACTAAATAATTCATTCATTATAATGATAAACTATATTTTGGATTATAATATTTATCCATCATTATATGTGTTGTTACTAAAATATAATGTTTTCTCTATACAAATTTTCTAATAATTTCATATAATGTATTTTATAATTTATTTATAGTTTTCTTGAAATTATTTTTTCTAATTTTCAAGAATATATGATTTTTTCATTTAATATGAAGATTTTTATTATTCTATTCATAAACATCTATTATATTCCTAGTTTTATTTTTTTTATTTGTATAATTCCCTATTATGATAATGAAGTGGGACATAGTTTTATCTAAACTATAAAAGAACTTTGAACTTTCTGTTATTTCATATATAAATATATGATAATTTATTTAAATTGAATTTATATATAATTTTTAATTATAATTATAAATGATATCTTTGGAATGAATGAAATCTTATTCATAATATATATGTTAATTAATTATATTTTATATATTATTTTATCACGAATAATAGAAATGTTAACATTCTATATATGTTTGTTTCATACAAATTCTAAACACGTATCATAATATATCAATTTGATATATTATTAAGATTATAAAATAAACTAATTCACAGTAGCAAGATTTATGATAATAAAAAAGAAATACTTTTCCTAATGTGTTACAGTTATATTGAAATAAATGTATATAAAACACAAGTTTAATGCTGAATATAACACATTATAATTATTATAAAAATTAGGTTATTTATTATATCGTAAAATATTTAATTATATGAAAAAAATATAATTATTATTTTGTAATATGTGAATAATAATTTTAATTAACGTATAACGAATTTATTTCATAATGATTCATTATTATCCTTATATATGTTTAATATTAATCAATTTACACATATTAATGCACTATTTCCACAGATAAAAATAAGTATATAATGCACTAAATTATTATTTTTTTGCACATGCTGTAGCTATTAGTTTTCTACCTAATATAATCCCATTATAAATTTTATAAAAAATTACAGCAATATAAGAAATAAAATAATAATGTAACATTAGTAGCATTAATAGAACTGTTTTCCTTATTAAAAATAATTTCCTTAAATTGTTTATTTATATAATAGAGTTTTTTATATAGGTATTATTTATCTCACATTCAAAAAATATAATGTGGATTAAAGAGAATGTATAATGTTAAATGATATAATATGTTAAATATATGTGCACTATAAAAGGAATAATAATAGTAATTTGATCCTGAATAATAATAAGCGAAATAGAAAATGCATATTTTATACTCTAAATTTAATTTTATATGGAAATTATTTTTTAATTATATATACTGATCAAATCAAGATAAAATAAAATATTAAATATTGTGAAAACTTCATGAGAGCAGAGTAAGCGATTTCTAATTTGTGCTATGATATTGTATTTGTATACATATATATATATATTGATATAAAATTACTATATTATTGCTCTTATGTGTATATAAGTAAATATTAAAGGAAGCAATTTTATTATATATATAACTAAAATATAATGTAAATACAAATACATTGTTAAATTACATTGAATTATAATGATGATAAATTTTAGATAATATTGATGTATGTCTTTTAATTTTGTATTATTCATTCACAAAACAAAGTATGTATAAATAAATTGTATTATTATTTTCATATTATTTTTTACATAAAAACAAAAGAATTATTATAAATATATATTGCGTCTAAATGCATAATTCCAGTACTATAAATGAAAAACTTATTAAAATATTATACCTATTACTTCGTTATAATTGCATCCATTGTTATCCAATGGATTAATGAATTAAAAATATATTTATAAGAATTAAACGATAAATTTAATGATTGTATAATGATAGTTATAGTATATGTATTTTAATAGGAAACAATATGCTATTTTTTTAATTAAATATATAAGTGGAATTTGTGCGAAAGTTGAGATCACAGTTTAAAATTATTATATAAATCCTAATACTGTAAAATTATATATATGTTATGCATTTATTGAGATATACCAATTTGATAATGCCTATAGAATAGCACAATACTATATTTTAATATATATATAAATTAATCATGTACGTATGAAGTCATAAAATTCTTTTAAAACTTAGAATATAATAAAAATTAATAAATATTCCAATAACATTATATTTGTTATTATTTTTTTAAATCATAAATATTTATAATAAATAAAACTTTGAAATTTTTGATATACTAATTCACATATATAATACATAATGGCAGAGACTAGTAATATAAAAACAGATGTATGTTGCTATTTATTATAAATATTTTATACTATATAATATAACATACCTTTATTTTCTTAAATGCAGTAAAAAAAAAAATTGTTAAAAATATTTTATTTTAATTTCTTATCTGCAATATGATTTTTTAACTTAGATTGATTTTCGAGCGATATTTAACGGATGTTCAAACGATTATCATAACGCCAAAAATTGGTATAACAAACATGTAAATAGTATGGGATTATCACATGTGTGTCAAAGATTTGGAGCAGCAATAAAGGAAACGCAAGACACAGGATAGAATTTCCTGTTACCATGCATTTACCTTGGTAGCTATTTCTATCAAATAAAACTCAATGATGAAAAAAATAAAGATGCAAGCTGTAAATATTTCAGTTATAAGCTCAAGGAAATCATGATGTCTAAAAATAACAATTGCACTCGAGTAAAAGATTGCTACCAAAAATTGATAGATGCAAAAAGGCATGATAAAATATATGTTCTTCCTATATGTAAGGGGATAATTATAGAAATTACGGATGAAATGTATAAAATATTTAATCGTCTTGATGTATTATATGAAATATTTTATAAGAGATATAATAATATCCAGAAAAACTGCTTTCAAAGAGATCGTGAAAAATATGATCCTTATATGAACTATTTAAATTCTTGCACGTATATGGATGATGAAGCTTTCCTAGAAATGCTTATAATACTTAATGACAGACTTATTGTTGTTTGCCCTGTTCTGAAGAAAATTGAAATTTATAAACCCATTACTAAGCTAAACATAAGTCGACCAGAGGACGAAATCGAAGTAGAAAGAGAAATTCAAGTAGAAGAAACAACCGAAATAGACGAAACACTTATAGTAGAAAAGACAAGCCCAGGAGAGGTGAGAAGCTTGGTGGAGGTACAAAGACGAGTAAATTTGGAAAATTTCGAAGAGGTAGTCAGCAGACAACGAGGGGAAATCTCAGAAGAGGTGACAGGATTATCGATAGACATGAATTTTATTATTTTACCTTTTTCTATATTAATAATTGTGTTCATTTTATATAAGGTTAAATTTAATTTATTTACGTATATTGTTATAATATTAGAGTTATATATTACTGCAAAACATTTATAAAAAATGAATTTATTTTGCAAATTAATATCAGGATTCTTCATTTTTATCAGTATACCGGATGGGGTTCATTTATACAAAGCAGACTAAGGAAGCTAAAGAACATATTCATCAAAAATGAAAAAAATAAATGTAGAGAAGTAATTGATTATTTTGAAAAATCATACCAAGGTTCAAAAAATAAATGGCGGCATATTTCATACAGTCCAGAATAATACTAATAAAATGAGCTAGGTTATATAACAATACTTTAAAAAAATTAATAAGAATATAAGACAAAATTTTTAGAGAAGTTGAAAAAATATTCATAAAAATAAACACATATAGATATAAAAGTAAAATTATGTAATAGATTTTTGTTATTTATACAATATATATTTTTAAAAAAAAAAAAGGCTTAAATTTTGAAATATACCCACATAAATATCTATAAATATATTACTTTGTGAAAAATTGCTATAAATTAAATATATAATAAATACATATGTTATTATCTCATATAATAATTAAATAGAATAAGTTAGATAAACTCAAATATAGTTTATTTTTTTTATGATTATAAAACTTATTTTTAATAAGGAAACAACAGTGTTTTACATCTAAATAAAACAAGAAATAGATTTTGATATTAAACAAGAAGAATAAAAACAAATACATTATAGTATGAATTATAATAAGTATAAAATAATGCAACAAATGAAAAAAAAAATGCGATATCTAAATTTTAAATATCCACTTATATGAAGTACACAATAGTGCTTAAGAAAACATTATTCTAATTTAATTATAGTATAGCGGAAATAGATTTATTTAAATTATAATAATGGAACTATTAGAAAATTTATCATGTATATGTTATTGCATATCTTAAGTAAATAAATAAAATATTTATATAATTTGCCGTACATATGTAGGATAAATTGAACAATATTAATATATCGGATTAGTAATAAAATAACATCAAATAAATTAAATTGCAGTTACATTATCTATATATATTTATGTTCTTAAATAAAAAGGATTATCGCAATTATTTAGTTTTTATATATTATTATGATAGATTATATTTATTAAAAATATTATATTTATAGTGCAATATAAGTCTATTCTGTACATAGATACATAACAAGTATAATTAGCATACTAAGAAACCAATAATTTTTTATGCAATGTATTCAGTTCAAATATGTCTGAACGAGTGGAATATGTAATTAATGTAATAAAACAATTATATATTAATATAATATGCAAATTTAGAAATTAACTAAAATTAATATATCATTCAGTTGTATTAATTCAGGAATTGAAACATTTTATAGAGTAACGACAGTTAAAATAATTTAATGAAGATAAAATATATTTGGATCATGCATATATGCTTAAGAAATTTAACATATTATTTTTACATTTTAGTTTATATTAAATTTCCATACATAATTTCTTTTATAGGAGGTAATTTTAACAACACAATTACTTATGTGTACAAAATAGATTTTTGCGTCATACCTAATTGTAATATATATATATAATATTAATATTATTATGTAATTCCATTTATGTATATACTTTTATAATTTTATACTACATATGTATAGAATCATATATTTTTTTTAGTTAAAATAACTCAGTAAGCATACCAATTTTTATTTAAATTTTTTAAATTTATCAAATTATGCTTTAACATATGTTCTTCCTTTTTGTAAAGGCTTAATTTTTTTTTCTTTGCTGAAGACATATATCAGTAATATACAATTTATTTATTAAAAGTATATATATTTATTTTCTATATCTTTTAATTTATTTTTTGTTGTTTTATAAACGCTTATCCGCAAAGTTTAATAATTAATTTAGTTTTTCGCATTATTACTTAAATGTAATTATTGAAAAACGAACAAGGCAACATAACATCGTTGATGTTATTATATAAGCAATAAAATTATGTAATATATATTTCATATAATTTTTATTTGAAAAACAACCAATAATATTAATTTCATTTTTTATTAACACATTGAATTAATTTTTATTCAGTTAAACTATAATAACAAAGAATCTATGCTTATCCAGAGTATTAATGTATTTTACAACGATTATAATAATGAACGTAATAAAACATACATTTTATATTTTTCTATGCTCATTAACATTATGCTTTCTCTATCATATTCTTGTTATGGAAACTTTTATATAAATAGAAAATAAAACTACTTCTCCTTGTCATGTATTACATATTAAATAGCCAATGAAAATTAATACATAAAAGATGAAAATACTTTCAAATTAACTTTTTTTTCAAATATCCGTATGCATGTATTACAATATTATAATAAACATCTGTATAATACTACAATATAATTCATGTATTTATTAATATGTCTATTATGTATTTATTATTAAATTGGTAATATGTTAGTACGAATTTGTAAAAATATCTTAAATTTATTAAAACATATCAGTTACATATTTTATTGTATATACAACTTCATAAAGAAATAATAATGATTTATGTAGATATGTATATAGCAATGATTAAATATGATATATATTTGAATAGTTTTATCATTTATTAATTATTTATTGTGTATAAGCAATGAATATATAAATAAAATGGTACATTTATAATATTTTGTTAGAAATATGCATATAAGTGTCATTATATAAGAAATTCATTAGAACACATAAAACTTCCTACACTTATATTAAATAACAATAACTTAACATAAACATAAAATAAGAAATAAATATAATTACTTAAATATTTTTGATATCTATTATAATAAATTAAATTATGTTATAAATATTGTAGCAAAAATTATTCACTATGTGTTGGATTTTTTTTATATTATTCCTATGTTATAATGCCTCCACAAAAACATAAAAATAAATGTTTATATAAATGATGAATTGAAAAAAAATTTTGAATACATCGTTTTTATTTATGAAGAAATGATATAAGAATTGATTTATTATAGTATGATATTCATATTTTGGAAGTAAAAAAAAAGAGTTTTTTTTTTAATGCTTAAACAGTATGAGTACAAATAAAATAATTTGTATTTACCTTATTTTAAAAATGAATACGTGAAAATAAAAAAAATAAATAGATTCTCTATTTTATAAATAAAATTATATTATGTTAGAAATAATATTAAAGCAAAGGGAATATATAATTTCTGTATATTCTAAACTTGTTATTTGTAGGACACACAATTATTATTATTTTATGCGATTATATGATGTGATATATTAAGATGATAAATATTACAATTTTGAGAATTGCAGATATCTCTATATTTTTAATATAAACATTTTTTCTATTGTTCATTTAGATGTAAAACTAAGGGGAACTTGCGAGATTCATAGGAAAAGTTTATATATTTATTGTGTAATAAATATATGCATATATATTAATAAAATAATTGAAAAAATAAATGAATGAATTAAAATATTCTTATTGAGTATAAATTCAATTTGAATGTTCAAATGATTCTAAATATTATAATACATAAAGACATTAATACAAACATTTCTGTGTAATTATAAGTAATTTATTTAAATACAGAGAATTTATTTGATTCTAATATAAACTATGTTATTTAATGATTGAATGTTAATTAATCAAGTAACTAAAAGCTAAGCGTGCTAATCCTGAAAACTTGAAAGAGTGAATATTATATATGTAATTATGTACATATTCGAATTAATAAAAAATATTAAAAATATATATATATTATATGGAGTATTATCTAAAATATATAATTTTTATTTAGCATGAAAGCATTAATATTATACCTTTTATATGGACATAAATTATTTATTCAAAATAAAGTGTATATATTTTTTAATTTTATATAATATTAATAATTAATAAGATACATTATTTGTCACTTGTATTTCATGCTATATTAATAACAGAATATTTATTAATAATCTAGAGTGTTGATGCATATTTTTTATATATTCTATTATTTTAAAGAAGGTACAATACATTTCCTTATTCTATATTCTTTATTCAAATAAAGCACATATATATATTTTTTAAATATCTTTATTATTTTTAGATTATCTTCAAAATTATATAGTATTTTCTGGAATGGATCTGGTTGAAGTTATTTTTGCTATTATATAATTTACAATATGATAATATATGTTCCTTTTTCATACGTGCAAGAAGCATTTGTGAAGATAATACTATCATTGTTATATGTACATTACTTTTTTTTAGTACACTATTGTAAAGCATTTTCCTGAATATAATAAAAATATAGAAAATTATGATAAAAACTTGACATTTCCTGGTGATCCTTGTACAATTGGAAGCATTAAAGCAACTGGAATACTAAATGATATATTCAATGTAGATAAATGCAAAACAGCCTTGTCATTTGCATCTAAAATTAAAGGTGATCCTTATGATCCGTCTACGCGAATATCTTGCTTTTACTTGTATTATTGGCTGCACAAACTATTTAATGAAAGTAGTATAAGTAATAAAACGAATTCTATTTATCAAAAATTGATTTATATAGTAAATGATTACGGTAGCCATATGTGCAGGGATTATATGAATTTTGCTATTTCAGAAGATGAATTGAAAAAATTGAACGATTTAAATGACATGAATAATATGCTTTATTACGTAATAAATTCATATTACCCCACTGGCAAAAATAAGTGCGATTGTCTTGTTGCATGTTTAAATATATATGAACAACACAATAAAACTTGTAAATTACGCAATCAAAGTTTTTTTTGTGAAGCATTAGATGATATAAAAGATCAGTATAATAAACTATCAAATTTAACTAATGAATGTGTTAATGTAACGTGCAATATTTTACCTTGTTATAAAAATGAGAGTATACAGTTAGCTTCCCCTAGAACTAGTAAATCTAAAAGTGCTATGATATGAACTATTTTAATATTAATAACGCCAGTTTTTTTATTTATAATTTATAAGGTTAAAGGTGATGTTGACATACATATATGTGTTATATAATAATCATTTTAAAAAATTAAATAAAACAAAGTATAATATTAATATGTTTTTAATACGTAATTTTGTACTTTTTTGAAATAGTTCACACCATATAATTCACGCTTGCATCGTGGAATGAGAGATATAATAGATAAGTTGAGTCGTCACAAGGATGACAGTAATGTATTGGAAAATTCAGAAACATCTAGTATTACTTCATGGAATAGTAGTTACAATATATTATATAATTCTACCTAGATTTACCATTAAATTTCTAATTCAAATAAAAGCTTTTCTTTAAAACATATACAGAATAATATAATCAAGATGTTCTCAAAATTATTCAATAAAATAGATCATGTAAGCATAAAAATATTCAAGGAAAATATAAAGTAATAAAAGAACTT